TTTCCGATGTACTCCGGTGGGGCGTATCTTGCGTTATTCTCTGCCTCGACTTCGATGAACTCGGCGAAAATCAATAGTTCCGGATCCGTCTTCATTTTTTCTTGCATTCGGTGATTGTTGACGTAATCGTTCCATCTGAAGCGGATAGTCGACGGCAGCTTTTCTATAATTGTCTTCATGATGTCCGGCGCACGTAGGTACTCGTTTTGCCCCAGTACTTGTAGTGCGACGACGCTATTCTTGATTTTGTTTGCAAAAATCACGATGTCCCTCGGCGAATCGGTGAGTCGGGGTAAATGGCGCAGCTTTTCTATTTCGGTTGCGGCGATGTTGTCCGGGCGGCCGAATCTGTGCTCCAATTGCTTCATAATGTCGCCCGGCGTAGTGTTGCTTATTAGCATGCTGCCCACGGCTTCTCTTGCCTTCCCCTTGAGGGCTCTTCTTAATCTCGATGAGTTTTCCGCCGACGATAGGTAGGTTGCGGATTCTAGGTACGCCGCCCTGAAGGTGAGCCATTCTGTGTGCGCGCCGCTGAAGGGTGGCAGCTCTCCGACGTAGCGTGGACCCGGTGCAGGCGGTACGGCGGCACGGACGGCGGCGTTGATCGCGACGGCCAGCTCGGAGACGTTCATTCTGTCTTGCTGGACCGGCGGTGGCGGTGGCGGCAACGTAGGGGCGACTTGTTCTTGAGCTTCATCAATACGGGACGGCGGACTCTTCTTAATGCATGGCTTCAGCGCCCTTGGGACTGGATCTTCGGCAAGTGGTGCGACGGACCCACCAATCTGTACGGTGTCCTCGACGGTCGGTCTTCTATACGGTTCGGTGGTGCCGCCGTCGGGGGTGGTGTCCTTTGTCGCTGTGTCCAGCCAGGTGATGACGCGTTCTTCATTCTCGGTGCCATGTGTGCTATCGGTTTCTCTTCTATCTTCTATTTGCGGGTCCTCTTGGTCCTCATCTTCGCTATCTTGCTCTTCCATTCGTATCTTCGCCCTTATAGTCTTCTCTAATTCTTCATATAACGCCGCCAGGCGCTTCTTCTTTGCTGCTCTTCGTGCAGCTATCTTCGATTCTGTTCGGTGTGATGTCATTGCAGCTGATGGCGACTTCGGCGGTTGGTCGTGGCGCAGCGGGTACGGTGGCCGCGTCACGGTGTCGCTCCCTTCCGATGGCGCTCTTGACGGGGGTTGGACAGGATTCTCTCCTGCGGCGGTTCGCTCTGGCTCTTCGATGCTTCTCTCGATGCGCTCCTCTTCGGCCTGGTCCATTTTGTCAGCTTGAGATCTTGTTCGTGGCATTTTTCTTTCTTCAATCTTCTATATTTTCTGTCTTCAATCTTCTATAATTGACCACGACGATCTTCTTTCTTCAATCTTCTATAATTTTTCTTTAATCTTCTATAATTTTTCTTCAATTCTTTCTCGGCGCTGTAGATCCGGCTCGATGCGACCAAAAAATGTACGGGACGCCGGGCTGTCGCAGTAGCGGACAGTTACCGACTCGTACTGAGGGGGTGGAGGAAGTTACACGCAGGAGTCTTGACTGTAGTGGACTGTAGTTTCGGCGAATAAAACCCCTGGTGTTCGGTATTGAAGAAATCGGTGGGCGCTGATAATGGATGGCCGGTGAGAGGAGGCTTCAGGTCCAGAGTGAACCGCTTGATTGTTTCTTCCTGTTCCTTAGGGTAGGAGCGCCTGTCGCTGAATGCATGTCGGGGCATGTTCCGACTCGAATTTTATATGCTAGGACTGAGCTGGCCAGCGATCCATTACCTCACCCACGCTATACTTTATTTTTCATTTTCTCAAAATTTACAATAGTGCGAGCTTAAAACTAATTGTACATACATCGGGCATACATTTAGGCATATTTTTAACACAGTTATGTGTCCGTAAACACGATATTTTAGGTGTGGCGCGCAAAAAATAGGTCTCCGCAATATTTATACTTTCCCCCTCCATAGGGCTTCGCCCTGCCACGGGGCTTCGCTGCCCCACCCGCGCGCTCCGGGCGCGCCGGGTGGGGAGCGCAACATGTCTCAGAAAACGGTTCTATACAAACATGTTTTGTCTTCTACACGGTACATTTTTACACTTATTGATGTGATACCTATTTATTTACGTAGCCCTACGTGTTACCTATCTAGTACAACAAGTTTCTTACAAGAATATCAATAAACAACAGCTGTACGGCCCTATAAAGTTTACAAATTAAAAGGTCTTAAAAAACCTACTTATATTCACTTAATGTCTAACTATCATATACCGTTTTATAGAAGAAGTAAAAACACACAAAATGACATCATTATTATAACAATTATACCTATATCCTATTGACTATTCATAAAAAACTATTCCCAATATTTTCCTTAATTACGCTTAAACTACTAACGCGATTCATACAAAACTTCGATATATTATTCCTATAACTACCTACTATCTAATAAGACATAAAATAAATCAATCAAAACATAAAACATACTATTATCGAAAATTGTCAACTCAGGCAAAATCCTATAAGACGTGAGACAAGGACAACCTATTGTCTCCGTCCCTCCTATAGGTCGGAACTATCAGTATTCTGACTAGTTTCCCCGCGCCACCGCTTGGCGTCGTGGCGATCGTTTAGATAAAGTCTTATAAGATTATTGGAGAGAACGGGGCGGAATATCGCTCTGAACTATCAGTTTTACAATGGTTTACTATGGGCAGAGCTATCTATTGTTGCGATATCCGACTCATTCTAATAAGACAACAAGGGAATGATATTTTTAATGCGTATACAACCGATTCATGTGAAATTATAGATACATTTTTATACATTGCTCTCGTATTGTCGTAAGTTCATTTTCTCTCGCTTCGGTCGTCGCGTACAGATACCTAGTAATTGGCGATATAGTCATTAATAGGGGCTACTCACACTGCGATCTAGACTACCTGAGATCAACCCAAACATCAATAGCAAAATTGTAGGTAATCAAAAGATCTACAGCTTTTGTATTTACACTTTTGCACACAAACTAAACATATCTCCGAAAAATTAAAATAACCGACCTTTTGCTTTTCTATTGTTATCTCCCACATAAAAACTTTTCACGAAATGTGGTGATTCAAGGGTTGTGTAGATCTTTTAATTACCTACAATTTCATTATCGTCATCATCAGCCTATTAATGTCCCCACTGCTGGGGCACAGGCCTTCCCTATGGATGGAATAGGGAGATTGGGCCACCCAACACGCGGGCCCAATGCGGATTGGTGGGTGCTAACGACTGCAGATGCAGCCGGGACCAACGGCTTAACGTGCAATCCGAAATAAACAGAAGCTCAAGATATAAGTCGCAGCACTTCCTACCTACAATTTGCCATTGATTTTCTTCGATAGGAGTTGTAGTTGTCCTGAAATTCGCGATAAACAGTATTCCTCCTATATAAGGTCGAGAATCGTCACGTAGCCACCTTAGCAATGTATATTTTTTGTATACCATCAGAAAGTAATGGTTAGAAGGAACAAAAAGAGGACTTTTCTTTTAAAAGCAACTCTTTTGCCGGCAGATTTTTTGTTTGAAAATAAAGTTACTTTATTAGTTAAAAAAATTAAAGCATGTTTGGGTTAAAAAAAGGTTTTGCCTTTTGCATGGTTATGTCAGACTCTTACTCACGAAAACACACTCTTACTGACGAAAACACACCTGGAAGCCTATGTCCATATAGGCTGTAAGGGCCTTACAGGCTTCATCGGATGCGATCATCCCTTGAGAAGGGGATGATGCAGATTGTAGACCACCATTTAATTTTGTAGTTGAAGTTGCCGAATATCTTTTAAATCTCAATTAGGCAAAAAGTATGAGGGACAGGAATAGAACGCATGATACTTAATAGGTATAAAGTAACCGTTGCCAAGTCCGTTGTGGCGCCTCCGGAGGTCGTTCAATATGTAACGAAAGTATGTCAAGAAAATCGTTATTAAAGTGTGTCAATTTTACTATAGTATCTTCATTTCTGTGTACCCTGTCTGCTTAAGTATACATACTCGTAATGTGTACATGATAATATACATGAGGAGCTTGATAGCGCAGGTGGTTAGCGGGAAGTTAAGCAACTTTCGCAGTGGTCGGTCATTGGATGCTGACCAAAAATCTTCTATCTTGAGTTCCTCCTTGCTTCGGAAGGCACGTTAAGCCGTTGGTCCCGGCTGCATCTGCAGTCGTTAGCACCCGCCAATTCGCACTGAGCCCGCGTGGTTAGTCATGGCCCAATCCCCCTATTCCATCCATAGGGAAGGCTCCAGCAGTGGGGACATTAATAGGCTAATGATAATATACATAATATCGCCTTCGGGAACATTTCATGTTTTCTAAGGTCAAAATTAAAACGTATCATTTTGTTTTGTGTTCGTAGTATTTAGTATTTAACAGTATATTTTCTATACAAAGTTTCAGGTGATAAAACTATAAAATTTTAAGTTTTTGCTAGCATTATAATAATAAAATTGTTATAGAAATTCATCCAAATCAAAACAAATAAAACGAACGAGCCTTACAGTAGTCGCGTATGATGTGTATGTAACATTTGAAACCTCACCTTATATTAGTAAAAAAACAAATAAACCTACTACTAAAGGAATAAGCCATTTGAAACTATGTTCTAAAATCAAATCAAATAGCGCGCGCTTTAGCGACTTCCTGTTACAGACTTACGTCCCATTTCACGCTCCCACAAATTTCAGGAATGCGGAAAGATGTTACACAACAAAAAAAAAATAGTTAAGTACTTATGGCGTGAACTTGTAAGTAACAAACATTTTAGTTTTTGTAAACAGTTGGATCTAACGGATCTGTAAGATCTCTTTTATTTTCATTCATACCGAAATTTGTCAATATCGGTCCAGCAGTTTTAGACAGCTACTCAACTTGCCTTGGACTTTATTGACTTTTTTTATTGCTTCAATTTTATTAGCGATAAGCACCTAATGTGTGCTAAGAAATTAATTTCTTCCTAGGTGGATCTTCCGTTCCTGGAGAGGCAAGTGGTGGAGAAAAGAGCGGAGATAGATGAGCAGCAGAGGAGAGAGTTGGCCTTCGCCCGCCAGATGATTAAGGACAGCAACCTGGCTGTGGTCCTTGAGGCCAGGGAGAGAGAGGTGGGTAAATAGATAAACATGTTACAGTATCTATAATCTCAACCTCCTTCTAATCACACCCACCCGCGCTTTTTCATTCGCCGAGATCGAGACCTTCATTTTTAGTGTCCATTTATTTTTCACAAAATAGGTAGTCATTAGCAGCTGCTCAGTGAAAACCACTTGCACTTTTTTTTCTGGCAGTACTTAACTGAGTTACATTCGCTGGACTTAGACACAACCACAAACATATTTCCAAATGTTTTCCAAACATTGGAATTTATATCGTTAACTGGTGTTTGCTAACTTTAACCCCTGTTTCGCTAGTCTAATTTTCGTAACAAAACCACCACCGTCTCTTTCTGCCAGGGCCCAGGTCTATATCTATGTATAAAAATTGATGTTTGCTTCAGCGTAACATATTTGGTCATTTTAACCTGTAAGTAATTTCGTTTAGGCATTGATATTTTGAGAGTGATACGATCGAAAACATGACACCTCGCTTTTCATAACATCAGAATCTGTTAAAATTATAAACCATGTAGAATACAAGAGATCACCACGGAACTATTTATGCGGACAGGAACGCAGACGCATCAATATGGAGATAGACAACTTCCGTCAGATGTACCAGCGGCCTGAAGATAGGCGCGAGTACGACCTCAACGACCCTGACGTGCTGAAGAAACAGCTGCCACCGCGAGCATCGGACGGGGACCCAGTCGGTTTGTCAAGCGCGCAGAAGTGAGCAAACAGACCTCAGCAGGGATCTTATAACACACAATCAAAATCAGCTTATTAATGCATAGTAAAAGGGATAAGGAAACTGGGCCGTGACCCACCACGTGGGCCTTGTGATTATTGGTGGGTGCTAACGACTATAGATGCAGCCGGGACCAACGGCTTAACGTGCCTTCCGCAGCACATGAAGCGGTTGGTCCAGACTTTAACATTGCTAAAGTTGCTTAACTTTCACGATCGCAGGCCGAATGCGCTAACCACCTGCACCATCAGGCTTCGTATATCACACATATAACCTTTTTATTTAAACCCAGCGATCCGCCCCAGTTTTGCACGGGTCTTATTTATTTTAACGCGATAAAACATAGGCAATGTCACTCAGGAATAATGTAGGTTATATTTTTATTTTTTAAACATTTAACTGCTAATGTTTTGAGAAAATTTTACTAGAAAAAGATCCATACGAACCAGGCAGCAGACGGCACTCGAACCCGCATCCTCCGCTATTCGGGCGGATGCACTGACCATTAGCGCGGTAGCATAATGGTCAGTCAACAAAAAGCATATATTATCGGCCCGTCTTACCTTAAGCGGCCACGTTAGCCTAGAGATGCTTGCGTTATATAGAGTATAGAATGCTCTGCCTGCTCACGTGTTCCTTCCTTCTTACATGGGATCCTTTAAAAGAGGCATGAAGAAGCAACATGCCGGCCGGCGAGGTGAAGATGGCTGGTGTGGTAGGTAGGACTGCTGTACCAGCTATCTTCGCGTCTGGACTTCACCGTCACTTAACATCAGTTGGGGTGGAGTCATTTGTCGGACTATATATAAAAAATATATAAAAAAAGAGTATATATTACTCTGGCTACGGGCCTGCCTCCCAAACATTAAAAAGTAACATTTACTTTTATAGAAGAACAAAATATTCATTTCAGATTTGAAGGTGAAGATCTGGCGTACGAAGAGCGGAGGAAACTGATGGCGGCGCAGAAGAACTCGTGGCTGGAGCAGCAGGTCCAGGAACGGAAGTCTGCTGAAGAAGAGAGGAAGAAGGCCGAAGCTGCTTATATGGTCATTGTCAAAATTAAGTATTTTGTAATTTTAAAGCCTTACCCAATATTATGTCAAATTAACCATTGATATACATATATTTACGAGGCGGGTTGTTACGTTCCCTAAAATAAGGTTGAGTGAAGCGATGGCTGGTTCATGCTTCATGCTCGTGAACGGGTGTTGCCAGCGGGGATGAGTCTGCTCTATACTATCAAATGTCAATATGAAAAATAAAGTATCATTTCATTTCATTTCTTTCTTTAATTTGGCCATACAAAGTATAAAGAAATATTAGAGTTCCTGCCTGTTTGCGAGGTTCTGTACTCAAAGAGTGATAAGACAACGGAAACCTTCTACTTAGACCTCGATATCCATCCGTTTGCAGCAGGCTGTCTCAACCACCATAATAGGAAGATTATAAGCAAAGATACTACGGAAAATGTTACAATATAAATAAAACTAGTTTTTCACGGGTTAATGCACGAAACAACAAAACTTTAAAAATCGAACAATGAAATAACCGAACGCTCAATAAAAGTCTTTCGAAGGTAGCTCGACAAAATTAAATAAAAAAATCATTCCGACGAAGCAGCCTGTAAAAGGTTGCGAAACGTCAATAAATAAATAAAGTTTCGTGCATTAACCCGTGAAAAACTAGTTTTATTTAATGAGTGATGTGCGTGAAAACCTAAGAAACAAATATGTATATATATACTTTAAATACATGGCACCACGGGGATGGTGTCATCAGCTCGAGTAATATTTTTGGTGTCGCAGGCCTTGAGAGGCTGTGGCGGGCCGTATGTCTGCTTTGCCAACATTTTACCATGAAGCGGGTTTGATTCATAGAGCATGGTAGAGCGCTGCGTGATGCGTGAGGCGGGTCTCCCATCGCAGCGCTGCTCTATAAAATGACGTGAAACTGCACGCGGAGCAGACGTCCGCTCCGCGATCGCTTAATGCAGTGCACGCCGTTAATGTTTATTTGTCTGTATTATACCCACCTACAGATGGCCATCAAAGCCCGGGACGCCCGGGCCAGTGAGCTAGATCAGATGGAGCGCGATTGTCGCTACCGACTCGGGCAGGCCAATCTGCGCTACAACGAGGCATTGGTGAGTGTTAAAGACGTCACATAACTGCGATCTGCGCATCTGGATTTCACTGTCACTTAACATCAGGTGGGGTGAAGTCATATGTTGGGGTTTTTGTAAAAAAAAAGATTATGTGATCAATGGGAGAAATATCAATAGAGTCGTTTTCCTCCAGAGATCTTTCAGTAGCTCCTCGAGCTGAAAATACACTGCCATTGACATATAGAAATGAGCTTGTGAAAAAAACGAAGCAAATGTAACCTGTGTATCATTTGTGAATGAATAGAATTAGTGGAGTGGAGCGGTTTCTTAATTTTTTACAATCGTATAAAAGTCAATGGTGGAAATCTGCGTTAAACAACAAAGCGTGCCAAACTCTAGAAAACGTTCAGGATCGTAGACCCAACGCGCTAACAGCTGTGCCATCAAGCTGCTTGTTAAAATTCAGCAATTTTCATAATGGCTGCTCATAAGATTGCTGAACAAAAATTTACTATCTTGAACTCTTCCGTGTTTCGGGAGACACGTTAAGTCGTTGATCCCGTCTTCACCTACAGTCGTTTGCACCCACTAATTCGCAGGACAGGTCATAGACGATAGCCGCGACTACACCCGCGCACCCGGCATTCATTAGGGGGGACATTTTCCAGAATACGTGCCGAGTGCCGCAGTATTGTGTGGTGTTTACTGGGTAAGGTCCTGTTCCGCTCCACCGAGCGGGAAGTTCAACGCTGGGTGAAGCAGACAAAGAAAAAGTTCGCAGATACCTTCTTCTTGCTCCCCTGTGACTAAAGGATGCGTTAGAGGACATTTCCCAGATATTAAAACTGGGGGGCGATGATGGTGATGATTGAACACACACAGGCAGCAGAGAAGAAGCAGCTGGAGCAGCTGATGAAGGAGCAGGAGGAGGCCGACAACACGGCGGAGATGTACAACCACCTCACTTCTGACATGCTGACTGAGAACCCAGACGTCGCCAAGAGTGCACTTGGCAAAAACAGGTAACATTTTTTTGTAACACACACCTATAGTCTAGCCTCAAAGTAAGCACTGTATGTCTTGCATAGGATTCTAGGGAAACGGATAGAAATACATTATAATTTTTGTAGAAATATGTATAAACACCCAAATGCTCATATTCGTCATAGAAACATTTGACTCACCTCGGAACACCGGTGAACATACCTCTCCTCCACGGAGGATGTCAAACACTCCGCGGGTTTTGAAGAGCTCCGTCGCTAGTACCTAATAGTGATGTAACGAATGTCATTTTTTGAACATAGTTTTTTTTTTATTTGCGCCAATTGTCTATGCCATGGTGGCAGTCTCGTTCGAATTGCCGAGTTGATATGAACTCATCCGACTGAAGTGTCATTCCGCTCGCACTGGTCTTTCCGTAAACAAAACAAGTGAATTTTGAGGTTAGTGATTGTGAGTGGTAATAGTGATTTATTAACATGAGTAAATCGAATTCTAGTGAAACATGGACTTATTTCATACTTTGCGATGCTGAAGGAGCTAAATGCAAACTGTGTAACAATGAATATTCAAGGAAAGGCAGAACTACAACTTCTTCAAATTGTTTTTTTCTAATATTCATATTCGCAAAACATTCACAGAGATTTTGCGAATGTGAATGCGAATATTCGTTACATCACTAACCTAAGCTTAGCAACCATTAAGAATTGGGATATTTACTAAAGATCGTAAACATTGCCGCCCATAAAGAAAAGTGCTGTTATTTTAGATCATAAAGTGCATAACGTAGTGTAAACTTTAGGCATCTCAAAAAAAATAATATGTATTCATAATTGCTTTGATTTTTGTACCTCACTGAAAGAAAATTTATCAATTAGTAAACTCTTGTGTACGCAATGATAAAAAATGGTTTGGCTACAGCGTAATAAATTTTTTTATCGGAACCACTTTGTTGTAATGACTTGAGTTTCAATTTTCACTGCGTAGATTGAGAGGTTAAGCGAAATTGGGATTATAAACAATGCACAGATCCAGATAGAGAATTCTACGAAAATAGCACCCTGTAAACTTACAGCCCTGAAAAAACCTGAAATCGAAACGTAGGACCTTATCTCACAGATGACGACTTACTGAACCAAGTACGAAAAATGCATAAAGCCTATTTAATTATAATTTGGTAATGCTAATGTTTAGGGCGATCGGCTTCATGTACAAGGGCATGAACGAAGAGGAGCTCAAGAAGTTCTACGCCGCCCAGAAGGAACAAATGGCAGCGGCAAAGGTAATTAAAATCATATACTCTAAGATAGGTAGGGCAGTTCTGTAGGGCGCGCTCCAATTATATAGGATTTTCCGCTCGAATTGGAGCGCGCCCTACAGAAGACCGTAGTAAAATATCACTTTGGTGGTGTTGTGTTTCTGTTGGTAAGTAAAGTTCCAGGGCTCCAACGGAGCAGGATTGATGATGATGGTATTGTTTGTATAACAAGCGTCTACAGGCTATGGTGGCCGATTACCATCAGGCTGGTCATATGCTTGTTTGCCACCCTTTTGTAGTCACTGCTACAACCTGGGAAAAGGAAGTTAAGTGGGGTTGTGCAGATTTCTGATTCAGCACTGCCTATGTGAGATTCCTAAATCCCCATGGGGTAAGGTGTAGGATCAGCGAAGTGATTTACAGAATTCAACAAAATAGCGTACCTTATATCAACAAAATAGCGTTTGTCCTTTACTTCACTTAAAAAAATATATAAAAGTTCATTCTTGCTATTATTTCAGGAATTATCAGGAATAATGAAAAAAAGTCCAGAAATCGCACTTAATACTCGATAAAAAAAGTGTTTGTGCGTAAAAACACGAGAATCAAAATGGGGCCACTAAGTAAGATCTTATTAAACCTCTTTTCTAGGCAAAGCGCGAGGAACAAGACAAAATGGAAGCCGAGTGGCAGGCGCTAGCCAAGTCTATACAAAGGGAGGTGGCCCGATTGGACATACAGGACCAGAGGAAGAGAAGGTACGCACAAAAATAACAATCAGGTTACCTTGACATGCACAACTGCAACTGCAACAACCCCTTCATATGCATTAACTTTGTTCCCACGGTAAGTAGCAAAAATAGCTACATACTTATTTGTATTAAGGAATTCAGAACAATGAAGAAACTACTTTAATGATAATATCAAAAATAATTTCTTTTTGGTCCACTTGACAAAGAATCCATTTCGGAAATTGGGGAAGACTAACCACTTGCCATACTTCAAATCATATTTTTAACTAACAATTCCCATATTGCAGGGAGATCGCTCGCCAACTCCTGGAAGAGAACCAAGTGCTCGCACTGCAGCAGAAGGAGAAGGAGAAATACTACCGGGAAGTTGTGTACAACAACAACCCCACCGACGAATATTACGACCAGTTCAACACCACCACGCGATAGATTTACACTATAGGGGGATGTACTTATGTTACCTATATACCCATAGACATAGAGAAAGGACCGATCGTCTAAAAAATTCAGCCAGCCTATTCATATACATATCATAGTCGTATACACATTAAAAAAATAATGAGCCGACTACGCCCCCACTAGTCTGCATTACAAAATATTTGTTTGAAATAGAAATCGCCAAAGACGGCGTCGTGCTGGAAGGGGATATACCGCCTTCCAGCGACGTTTGGATGTGTGTTATATGTTTATATAATGTCAAATGTAGTTATACTGCATAAGCTTGGTACAACAAGGTGACCTAAAATGAGATCTCTAGTGTAGGTTCTGTGTGAGGCCAACCGCTTTGTCTCTCTCACTTTTGTTTTACTTCACAGCTGGTCAGAGAATGCTTAGTCTATTCTCTTATGTCTATGGTTATACCCCGTTTACATTCAGCCACTGCCGTTGCCGTTTGCGTGTTGCAAGAAAATACTTTTTAACAAAATACAACTGTACCAATGTCAAGGGCAATGTGTGTTTAAATTATCGCCACGTATTGCTTTCAAATTCTAGTAGTGACAAGAGATGCGTGAGAAGTAGTGAGAATGAAAAGCAAACTTGCACTGCACCCTTTGATTCATGACCGCACGAAACCACCTTTCGTGGGATCGATAGGAAGTGCGACTCAACGATAATGGAACCGACCTGATTACATGCTCATATTATCCACTTTGCATAACTCATCCCCACTTCTTCGCACAGACTCTCTGTGCGGAAAGAGAATGGGCGTGGCGAAAAACGGAACTAACATTAAGATTTTTATTTGGCAATCAAACCCAGCAATCTGTAAAACGTCAAAGTTTTGTATTGATACGGATTTGTTTTTTGTTGTGATTTTTTGCGGTTTTTTGTATTTAATCGTGTCTAAAAGGGGTAAAACCTAACAACCTTTTCTACCTTACGGTAGAAAAGCACTACAGCGCCCTCCAATCCAAATTCCATTCTCTTTCCGCACAGACTCTAGTAGAGTGCGATTCACACTTAATGATGTGAAGTAAGCGCAAATCATGAAGCAGTAAACGAAATTTTGGGTGGTGTAGGCGTGCGTCATTTCACTGAACTGAAACCTGTGCAACTGTACAAAGTTGCGTTCACTGCTAACTTCACAATCCACCATAAAGTTTAAATCACACTAGGTATAGTAAAGTTGCCACGCGAACGGGCTGAATGTAAACGGGGTACCTGTAAGGGCTAGTAAATTTTGCACGTTTTATAGTAGAGTGTAGGCGAGGTTGCCACAAAATCCCTAAAGGGAAAAGTCTCAAAACATCTTAATAACATTTTTGAATATATATGGAAGAAAATTTACACAACGCAAAAAGAACTCCTTTTTAACTCTTTTGTTCAACATTAGACGGTTAAGTAATTGATGTTACAATAGGTTTGTTAATTAGCAATCAATATAAATTTTAATTTTTCCAACATCACTAAGTGATATTGAAATATTAAAAGTCAACAATCGAATGCTAATAAAAATATGAATCAGCATTTTACTGTCTGTAACATAAATATTAAGGAGATGCTTTAAATAAAGTGTGAAGAAAATTATATTTTATACACATACATACATTTAGTAGGTATTATATTATCAGTTTGAATTAAAAGCTAGTCTTGTCTCATTCAAATTTAGTACTTTTGCATTAAAGTATCTGTACTTGTCTAAAACCTTTATTTAATAAATATATGTGCCTAAATTTTGAATATCTCTATTTTTAAATTTTTAACATCCTATTTCTATGATTTATCCCATCCTAGAGAAGTCTTAATATCGTTTTTGACGAAACATTTTTGTTATGTTTTCGGTCTAAATTGAATTTATAGATTTAAGACACATTCGTCAGATTCTTTTTTCGTTATAGGCTGTTTTTTTCTGACTTAAACGGGATTTTGGTTAAATTCCGCTTTCGTCAGAAAAACATTATGGGATGTTTCTTATGTCAAAGGCGGAAATGCTAGATTTAGGATTTAGTTTTATGGCCAAGGGTAAACGGATCTACCTCAAAAGATCCATTTACCAAATTCATGATGGTATGTTAGTATCTTTTCTAAAAAAAAGAAGTTAATTATTAGAGGTACTCAGAACCTCTTAGTGATTTATGCTATCATATATTATGCTTTCCTAGTACGACTTTATTTAAGGAAAACTACAATGAGAATATTAAAATTAAAACAAACCATACAGGCATCACTAGCGGCCGCCCGCGACTTCGTTCGCTTAAAGTTAGAAATAAAGGTTCACTGCTCGTTCCCCGTAGGTGATAGCGTGATAATTATGTAGCCTATATGATGACCCGACTTCTTAATAATATTCGCGCCAAATCTGAAGTAAATCCATGTAGTACTTTTTGAGTTTATCCCGGACATACATACAGACAAACATGGAGGTGAAATAAAGGTTCACTGCTCGTTCTCCGTAGGTGATAGCGTGATAATTATGTAGCCTATATGATGACTCGACTTCTTAATAATATTCGCGCCAAATCTGAAGTAAATTCATGCAGTACTTTTTGAGTTTATCCCGGACATACATACAGACAAAAATTCTAAAAACTATATTTTTGGCTTCGGTATCGATTGTAGATCACATCCCAAGTATTCTTTTAAAAAAATATTCAATGTACAGTTTTGACTTTCCTACCATTTTATATGTGCGTGTGGACTGAGTGATCTTTTCAAAAAACTCATCCAATCACAACCAAATTATAAGAGGATTTAGGAAATAATTGCGAAAACTTAATGGTAAGGTATAAAATTTGTGAAACCTAAACAAAGAAAGTTAGAACTAATTAACTGGATCACTCAATCTGGACACCTGAAGAATAAGCCATAACGCGTATCCAAGAAAATACTACCTGTGTGTTTATAATTTGTATTTCAAATATTTGTGAAGAATTTGTGAAAGCTGCTAAACAAATTTTCGATTCATTTCAAAGCCACGTTTAAGATTTAGAACGGTTTATATGGATCACTCAGAATGAACTATGTTCATTTGAGTGATCTTTTAAAACACTACCTTATACTGAAAAAGTATGAAACATTATCATGTTTATTCATCATCAACAGCCTATCTTAGTCCACTGCTGGACATAGGCCTCTCCAAATGCACGCCACTTAGATCGATCTTGGGCTACTCGCATCCAGCTCCTGCCAGCCACCTTGCGCAAATCGTCACTCCATCGCGCCTGAGGACGTCCTACACTACGTTTGCCTAGACGCGGTCTCCACTCCAGAACTCGTCTACCCCAACGGTTATCGGTTCTTCGACAAACATGGCCAGCCCACTGCCACTTCAACTTGCTAATCCGGTGGGCTATGTCGATAACTCTGGTTCTCTGCCGGATTACCTCATTTCTGATGCGATCCTTCAGAGAAACGCCGAGCATAGCCCTTTCCATAGCGCGTTGAGTGACTTTGAACCTGTGGACCAGCCGTACCGTCAGTGTCCACGTCTCGGCTCCGTATGTCATCACAGGTAGGACGCACTGATTGAAGACTTTCGTCTTTAGACACTGTGAGATCGACGATGTCAGGACTTGACGTAACTTCCTAAACGCTGCCCAACCTAGCTGAATTCTTCTATTCACCTCGTCCTCAAAGTTGTTTCTACCTAACTGCAATGTCTGCCCGAGGTACACATATTTTTGAACAACTTCGAGAACGGCATCGTGTATTGCAATCGGTTCCGGTAGAACATGTTCATTGAACATGACCTTGGTTTTATCCAAGTTCATCCGTAGGCCGATGCGTATAGAAGAGTCAGCCAGGTCATCACAGTCTGTTGTAGATCCTGCAGGGTTTCTGCCATGATGACGATGTCGTCTGCAAATCGCAAGTGAGAGATGCATTCGTCATTTATGTTGATGCCACGTCCTTTCCAGTTCAGCGTCTTGAACATATCCTCCATTGCATTAGTGAACAATTTCGGGGAAATAACGTCCCCTTGTCTCACTCCACGATGCAATGGCATGGGACTTGTTTGCTGATTCTGTACTTGGACAGACATGGTGGCGGCTTCGTACAGACATCTAATCACTTGGATGTATCGCCAGTCGACTTGGCAACGCTGCAGGGACTCCAGAACAGACCAGATTTCAATCGAGTCAAAGGCCTTCTCATAGTCCACAAATGCTAGGCACAGGGGCTGATTGTACTCTTCAGTCTTCTGTATAATCTGCCGCACTGTGTCAATGTGGTCTATGGTGCCGTATCCGCTCCGAAACCCAGCCTGTTCCGGTGGTTGGAAGTCATCAAGTCTTCGCGCAAGACGGTTCGCGATCACTCTTGAGAACAGCTTATAGACGTGGCTTAGAAGGGATATGGGTCGATAGTTCTTAAGTTGGGTCTTGTCCCCCTTTTTAAAGAACAAGACAACCACACTCCTACTCCACGCCTCCGGAGTTCTCCCTTCGAACAGGACAGTGTTGAAAAGCTTTTGGAGCTCCCTCAGTACGGGTTTACCTCCAGCCTTTAAGAGTTCTGTTGAAACACCATCCTCTCCAGGGGCTTTTCCATTTTTAAGCTGTCCAAGAGCAATTTCGATTTCGCCAATACTGACTTCTGGCAGGTCTTCGGTGAAGTGGCGTGTTAATGTGGCTCTAGAATCCTCATTTCCGGGATCGGGTCGAGATGCATGTGATGCGTACAACTGGCTGTAGAAGTCTTCCACTTCCGAAAGGACTGCCGGCTTTGAAGCAACAACTTCCCCACTTGCTGTGGTCAACTTCGTCAGATGGCTTCTTCCAAGAGATTGTACGAACACTTTGGATCCTCGATTCTGCTCGATCGCTCTCTCGATCGAGAGAGTATTGGAGCACCGGAGGTCGTGTCGTACGTGCTTACTGATCTCTTGGTTTAGAGTCCGCTTTGCCGACGAAGTGACGGGTGGATTTTCACGTCGTTCCTTCATTAGCCCTAAAGTCTCTTCCGAAAGCTTTGACTTCCTGCCCTTA